TTGTTCTATGTACAATCCTTGTTTTATTGATTGCACGTAATATTCTAATTTTCTGAGATTGTGGATTTGGGGTTTTCATGAGCTGTAAGCCATAATCATCATAATTATGGCAAATCACGGCTTGAACTATCTTGCTTTGCATGTAATGAGTATATCTCATATATTAGTTTCACCTTTTAAGTTGCATTACTGAAATAAATTAACTTTTGAACGATATTCTAATTTTTCGAGTTTCACCTGTACAAGCCAATGACATTTCCAAGCAAACATCTAAAAGTCCAAAGTAATTTAATGATAAAATTGATTCATAGCAGACTAGAAAGATATGTGTTTCAGGGGCCAAACACACTCCCCCTTCATCAGGACTACAAAACAAGTATAATTAGAAAGGTCATAAATCTAGAGGTAAAAGGTCAAAATTAACAAAAAAAATAATACTAGAAAAAACATTATGAATATAAAACCCCTATTTTTTTTACTTTCATTATATTTTACTTGTATTATGTATAATTTTTGTAAACCTAAGTCTAACTTACATTACTCTCTCCATACAGTGCTGCTGTCCAAGGGTGTAGAGGAGCCACCCTAAGACACGAAGTGTGTTACTGCCTGCAGTAAATAACATTTTTGGTTTTGGGTTTAGATATGCTTTAATAGGACATTAAGAGACAAGAACACTGACAGGACAACTTTCAAGAAGCATTGCAAGAGAATGAAACTGGCAACAATGGAATACAAGGATGTTCTACAAAGGTGAGCCTTTTGCTACATTAAAGCACAATTTTGTATTTGACAGGAGCTCAGTTTTAAGTGGTGGGCTGTTGTTTCCACATGAAAATTCCTTCAAGACAAGGTTCCTTTAATACTAATTTAGTTATTTCCAATGTTCTGTATAAAGTGAACACAAAAGTGCATACTAGCACTGTGTTTTTCCCAGACAGACAGATGGTGAACCTAATTAGAGATGAGCAGCTTGGATTTGTTTTATCGGAGTTGGGATTAAGTCAATGATCTGAGCAGAGCGGACTAGCTTTATAGACAACGACTTGACCTCAGCTGAAAACATTTATCCAAAATATGTCTGACAGCTGCGTTTATAGAAACTATGTAGGTAACAGTATGATACATGAAGACTAGACTTGAAGAAGTCACATAGAAAAAGAGCACAATGTGCTCAAGGCAATGGAGAGACAATGCAGATCTAAACAGGCACATGTAATTACTGTACTGGGAAAATAAGTCCCACACAGTAAGTATGACACACACACATTTTGTTTTAAAACATTTTTAAATGAATGTTTTTCACTAGGAGAACAAGTCAGTATATTATCTAAAATGTATTCTTGCCATCACAGTGCTAACATACAGTATCTGCCAAATTGCCAACAGAGAATTCTGTTGGCCAGGGCCCTTTTAAGACAAAGGTGAGCCCAGGGTAAACACCTGAGAGATGGACCCTCAACCAATTTTTTTTTTTCCATGCAACATAAAAAAATGATGCAAATACCAAGTATGAACAGAGCAACAGATCTAGGTTAGAGCTACTAGTTCTAACACTTGTGCTGATATTTGTAGTTGCATATAGGTTGCATTGCTCCCAGCTGTCCCTGTGTTATACTTAAATCCCTTTGTTATTCTTTCCTCATCAATGTCCTTCTTTTTGGTCTAATGCATGTTGTCCAATTGGAATAAAGTACTTTTTAACTGCCAGATGTGTAATTTAGAAGCATGCACCTTGTTCAGTGCCTTTGGTAACTCAGGGGAACTTCAACCATGCAAAAATGTAGTACATCCTCACACAAGTCTTTGTCTGTATTAACAACTTTTTCACTTTATTGCAAAATCATGACAGTACAAAACAGTCAAGCACCTATTTCACATAGCAAAGTATTGGACCGTTTCTAGCCCTTTATTAAGCTAAGAGCAAACTGACAGTTTGCTACCAAAAGTGTTGTACTATACACCAATGTTTTCATTCAACATCTATATTATTGAATTTGTTGTTTGAAAAGGTGGTATAAAAGAAAATTAATGGATTTTATTTGCACATTTATTCTTCAAGGTTTGCCTAAATGGAGTTGTGGCCAGGGTTTTTCTTTATCCACATACATTGTGCTGACAGTTGTCACTTGTGCTGAGTGTTCTCTTTACTCAAAATATTGGCAGGAATGGCGCTGTACCTACATTGGATTAACTTACATACACTAGGCAAGTTGCCAACACAGAACAATTCTAGCCTGTCAACAAAGCTAGTTAACATTCTTCACTCAGTGCAAGATACCAATGCTGTCCTGCAATAGTATCTAATACTCTTGGCCATGATGCTAATAATGATGGCAAAATTTCAGCAAAGAAGACTGTTCTAGCCACTTAGCCATCCTGCAATTTAAAAAATTTGAAACATTTTTGTATTGTACGACAAATGCCTGTAGCCCTGTGATGATGTGCCAAGGCCAAACCGTCTAGCCGTCTGCAGTCATTATGGTTGCAAGAAATCTGTCTTTTTTCTGAAAGTGTTTTCTGTTCTTCTCGGCTTGCTGTTTGCCAGCACCTAGAAAAAAATTGAGTACCATGCATCTATTCTACACCAAGTTATTATTAAAAACCTCTACACTTAGTGTAATCTAAACATACAAATGTTCCTGATATATTCTAAATACATGCACTGAGGCAGGTAGCACTTCTGTTAGGTTTTTAATTTTGTTTGTGGCCCCACTGGAAGATTTTCCTTCACTTTCTGACTCTGTGAAGCCTGTACAAGATACAGGTGGCACAGTAGCTACTGGACAGAAAGGTACAGACAACAGTAAAAACACTGCTAAAAGTTCTAATCCTTCTGCACTCTACTAAATGTCTTTTTGTCTGGTCTTCTTCTGATATCTATTGTTGGTTCCTATTTGGTTTGCCCAGCTTATTCAAAATAGTTTTTTAAGCCCATGACATCATGGCATAGAGCCAGCCTGAGCTCACATGCTGAAGAGAATGCTGAAGAAAATGGCTTTTACATCATTAATTTGAGCCTTTCTCTGCAGCATTCAGGTTGGCCCCTCATCGGAGGACACAGGAGGGCTTGGTGCATCATATATCTGCACCAAACATTTGAAATTGAATATAGAAAATACATTTGTGCAATGGACATTTAAAAAAAATAAATGCCTAGGAAAGTAGATATGTTGGAAGCAGGAATGGGCTTTCAGGCTGTTGGAAATGTGAAATTCTGTTAGAAAAAATTAGACAATGTGGTTTTAAAAACTACTACTGCAATAATGCAAAACTTTAACTTTTTCTCATCAATCCAGAGCATTGTCCTAGATGTGTGTAGCTCATCCATGTGGTCTTTTGAAAACTGTAGTAATGCAGCCATATTTTTTGAGGAGCAAGGGTTTCTGTCGTGGGGGACTCCCATGAATACCTTTCTTATTAAGTGTGCTCCCTTTTACCTCCAATGTTGCACACCACACTCTTTTCCTGAAAGTAACATATTTTCCTCCTTGTAAAAGGTTTTTCTTACTGTGGGTTGATAAACATGTTCTTAGGTTTGTCTGCTTTCAAAGTTTTTGCATGCCTACAATTTCTCTAAGGTCCTCTGAAATTTTGTTTGGTTGAAGTTCAGGTCAAACCATCAGATTTTCAGCAACCAAATTTGGGACACCTTCACATCACACCTCAGCCACACTTCAAACCACATACTAGAATCCTTATTAGTAATGACAGATGCAGAAAAAGCATTTGATCATGTCACGTGGACATTTTTAGAAAAAAAAAAATTACATAATGGGTACCATTCTCCACTACTCAAAATATTTAGCTATGGCAATACTACCATGTAAACGTAGAGAAAGCAATGCTATCCATGGCATAGCAACAAACAATACAAAATCAGCTTTCGCTGATGGTCTCTTACTTTTCATAACTCAGACTTCTCAGTTTATTGTCTCACAACTGTTCATAATTCAGCCATTAAGACTCGGTGTAGTGAAATAAATAGAGAAATTAAGTAAGATTTCAAATTTTTATTTCTATTTTTCTCGGTCATATATTTTCATTAATAATATCCCTTAAGAAAAATAGAACTTATTGAAAACCTTTATTTTAAATCTAATTTAAATTATTGTCTAAAGAGATTGAAAAAAATGTTTGAACATTAGGAAAAATATATCTATCTTGGTTGGCCAAAACCTATTTTTATTAAAACTTGTACAACAGTAATCTTACCAAAATTTGTATTTTTCTTAATGGAAATACTAGTCAAAATATCCAAACCTTTTTTTCCCAAAAGGCACAGAGACTTTTCATAATATCATTTTGGAGAAAGAAGAAACCAAAATTCCACTAAAAGGCTGACACGTCTTAAACCCAAAAGAGAAGAATATTTAGAAGATAAAAGATTTACAGACAGAAGATAGTAATATTATATTGAATTTGGAACTATTTTAGGAAAAAATACGAAGTAAATGATCCAAACTTCTACAGTACATCTGTGTTGTAACACATACCGTATATCTTTTGCAATATTTTGTACATTAAAAACATTTTTTTAAAAGATCCTTTACCCAGACTCACAAAAAATGTATAATATTTTAATAAATATGACAGATGTCCACTTATCTACTTGGGGATAATGGCAATGGGAATACAGCTGTAAACTCACTTTAGAAGAAAAGGAGTATATAAGTAAAATTACTTTATATCTCATTTCACAAAACACCAGAACTTCAATATAAAAGTTTACATATATGGTACTTAACTCCTGTAAAAATAGTAATAGCTCCAATGATAATAATTAATTTTGATGAGGTTCCTCAAAGCAAGACACATATGTGACTAATGTGTCCCAAATTTAATGAATACTGGAACTCCATATTTAATTATCCATATTAATATGGATACATACTCCATATTAATAATATCAGATATACTTAAAGCGTTACTAAACCCAGGACCCTGCATTCACTATATCTGGTCTCCTACAGTACACAGAACGTGGAAGTGCAATTATTTTAGTAAATATAAACTGCTAAATACCTTTTCTCATCAGCAGTTAGAGCAGTCTTGTGGCTTTTATCTGTGTCCAGCCCAGCAATAGCTAAAGCTTGTAGGAGGAGTTTTCTTTCTGCTATAGGAGGATGGAAATTCCCTGACCTCTGTCTGGACAGTGCTGATTGGCCCTGTGATGGTCACATGCATTCTCCCAAGTAAAAAAAAACTCTCTAGCAATATACAACAAACTGAGCATGTGCATGCCTACGGTTCAGTCTGGAGATAAGTGGTGGTTGCTTGAAAAAGGGGAGGAACAGAGAAGAAAGAATCAAACAGCTTTTTTACACAATGCAGAAGATTAACCCCTTAGGTTCCACAGTGAGTATAACAAGCAGACTTTACTGCATATACAGACTTATTTTACTGTTGTGGGTTTAGTAACACTAACAAAAAGTTGAATATAGTTGAAAGAATATATTTCTTTCACACCAAAGTTCAGAACTGTAATACAACAATATATTTTGCCAATTCAATATTGATCACCTTGAAATCTGGAATAAATCTCACAGTAAAAACACTCTCGCATTTCATTACCTTTAGAAAAACACCTTTGCATATACAAGAAATGCCTTAATTAATTTATGGCACAATGGAAACCTTGGTTTGACCACGTTCATATTAATAATAAATACTATGTTCTCACACATTCCTTTCTCTGGAATAACTTAGTGTCAATATAGCTAATAAATGTGAATCTTTATAGATTTTATCTCTAATAATCAGCATTATGTAATCGAGGAAGGTTGAATCTACTTTGCACTTTATACATTATCTTTATGTTCCTGTGATTTGTTATTTTGTTTATGTTTTGACATTGTGATTAGGTTTATTTTATTTTTCTCTATAACCTACTCTAATATTGGCAATGTAATGTCTGTTTGCTTATTATAATTTAAATAAGTAAAAAAATCTAATTAAGTAGACTTCTTGAGGCTCATTACACCTTTAAATATGTCATTATCTTAATGTTTTGCATATTTTTCTTTACCAACTGGACCTTTATTTTGGATACAATTTGCTTAATGGATGTAAGCAAATGTAATGTGCAGGAGCCGTTCATGCAGAAAGTCAGGCAATTTACAAAGGTTTACAAAGTTTTCATATACTGTATACATTTTGTATGTAGCTTAAAAGCTATTGTAGTAGCTTTAAAGCAAATGTAAACCCTAACAATTAACTTATTTTATTTGCTCCATTTTGGTCTAATAAATATATTGTTGGCAGTTGTTTGAAAAGTGAAAAAAATGCTGATCATGCCAGAAATCTAATGAGCTCATATTTTCTTTTGCTCCCTTCCTCTGCTGAATGTTATGAATTAACATGGTTTTCAGCTCTGTAAACTACAGAACTCCTTCAGTTATGTATGTAGATAAGGAGAGAGGATATCCTGTACTCTTAAAACACCTGTCCAGATCACCTGCCTAATATCTGATATACTCTAGCTATAATATATTAGTGGTATGAAGTGCTATAGAACCACAAGTTGACTAATATGTGAATCCTTCCACCTTACATCACCGTCACATGACTTCATTAGGGGATCCCAGATGAAATCACGTGACGGTGATGTAACGCATAGGGCATGGGCTCAGGCAGTTTGAGAAAGTGAGAAGATCCATGGTTGTTTTATTTATTTCAGGTACTGATATAGTGCCGTCAATTTACGCAGCGCTTTACTTATATATTGTACATTCACATCAGTCCCTAACCCTCAAGGGGCATACAATCTAAGGTCCCTAACTTACATTCATACATACACATACTAGGGCCAATTTAGACAGGAGCCAATTCACCTACCAGCATGTCTTTGGAGTGTGGAAGGAAACCGGCGTACCCAGAGGAAACCCACGCAGACACAGGGAGAACATGCAAACTCCAGGCAGGTGGTACCGTGGTTAGGATTCGAACCAGCGACCCTAGTACTGCCAGGCGGAAGTGCTAGCCATTTAGGCACTGTGCTGCCCATTTAAAGCGCTTGTCATTTTAATATACAATGTAAGTGTGATTTTAAATAAATATTTTTTTTTACTGACTTACTACACTATATGAGGCATTCTTTCATTTGGGGGAGGTACTGGCATCCGTGGAATGGAGGATTTCCATTATTACCTACTATTATCCATTATATGGGAGGAGGTGTTGATAGCCCTCTAGTGGCTAAATAAGATATTGCAAGGTCCGGATTTATGGAGATGTCTTATTAAATACATGCATGTGTTACATACGTTGGAGCTGACTGGTATCCGCTGAGACGGAGGATTTATAATACCTTCTTAAAAGGATCCATTATATGGAAGGAGGAACGGATAAGGAGATATTGCGAGGTCTGGCTGTGTGGAGACGTCATATTATTAACACATAGTTTTTACATGCGTTGGAGGTGAGAGTCCTGTGAGCACGGAGTGGCACTGTTATTAGCATGAAAATTCACATTCACAGTGGAATTATAGTTACGGTGTCAGAGCATGTCATATTTGGAAACTTATGAACTCATTTATTGAAAGCACTTTAGTATATTTATTTACGTTATTCATTAATTTATATTTTAGATCATCTGATATTTGGAAATGTAGGAACTCATTTATTGAAAGCACTTTAGTATCTTTATTCACATTATTCATTAATTTATATTTAAGGTCTATGTTCTTGGTCATTTATTCACATTACGATTATGAGCACAGTTTATCCACCTGTATTGTTTTTTAGTACTGATTGATATTCATTAGCAGCGCTACATCACCTTTATTTATTTAATTTATTTAGTTGATATTATGAGAACGCAATTGATTTCAGCAGCAGCACCTATTTGTTTGTTTATTTATATTGTATAGTAGATGCAGAAGTTCACTTCACTTATCTAATACTGAGTGAAAGCTCACATATAAACTCTCGCTGGTGGAACACTATATAGTACATATAGTATATTCTGATTTGCAAAAAAATCAAATACACGTTTTTATTTAAAAAATGTGTTGAATATTTGCCACTGAATTCCTCCTACCTGTCCATTAAAGCCAGTCCCATCTGGAGACTTCAAGAATTCATTGTAAACTTGATTTGCTCGACTGATCACCATAGCAACAGCATCTTGGTACTGAGGAGAAGAGATGGCCAGCCAGCAGTGGCAAGGCAGCTAGTGGAATGTGATCTTCACTAATGTTTAGGCAGTTCTCATCATAGCTGTAAGGGTTAAGGCTGAAGAAGAAAACAGAAAAAATGCAACTTACTATTCACTTACTATAACCTATAGTAAATAGCATACATAGCATACAGAGAGAAAATATGATTGTAAGCTCGAAAGAGCATGGCCCTCGATCCCCTCATGTTTTGCATTGTATTGTTATTGTTCTGTCACATGTTCTGTCCCCCTTTGTAATGTACAGCGCTGAGCAAAACCATTGGCGCTTTATAAATACTGTATAATAATAAATAATAATAATGACTACTAACAAGAAAACATTTGAAGCCGTCAATAGAAGCAGGATACTACTTTACATATTGTATTTTCTACCAGCACTTACAATGTAGGTCTTCACATGCAATTGATGCTATATACTGTATATATACATTTGTTTACCTTAAATATAAAGTATATATTCCTATAATATATTCAGTGTGAAAAAATGCATGTTTTCAATAAATAATCACTGTTACTTACAAAAGTTTAATATTTTTTTGTCTGGTTTAGTCAGTTGTACACAGTTGGACAACTGTGTTGTGATGTGTGTGTGTTCTCTGATTTTTCTCAGACGTACATAGAAAAAAATCTGTTTGTTTTAGAAATAAACATCAGGTTTCAAACAAATGCTGTTGTAAACATTTGCTCAAGCTGTCCTCTAATACAATGGTAACATAGATACTATTGCTGTATGTTAGGAAATTGTCAGTTGGCAATTAGATGCTTCCATTGTATTCTGGTCATACCATGCATTCAGGTAACCAAAGTCAAGAGTAGCTTGACCTTGACCTTAACTAAGGAAGAAAAAGATATGCCCATGTGGAATTTTTCCAAATAAAAGGTCGGCAGCATAAGCTGACAGAAAGATAACAACAATGAAGGTCTGTGCAAGAAGGAACTACACTTAAGGATGACACATCCCCCAATTTCCTGCAATTGCTAGTAGAATAAATAACCACAAACAGTAGCGCAACCCTGAAACCAAAAAATTATAAATAAATATATAAATGAAAATATTTAATAATATTAATATTAAATCCACCACCATGTGCGTGCAATCAAATAATCAGTGCACAAAACAAATAAAGAAGTCCGCATATAATCCATTCAAGAAAGTCTTTCTTTCTTGAATGGATTATATGCGGACTTCTTCATTTGTTTTGTGCACTGATTATTTGATTGCACGCACATGGTGGTGGATTTAATATTAATATTAATATTATTCAATATTTTCATTTATTTATAATGTTTTTGGTTTCAGGGTTGCGCTATTATTTGTGGTTATTTGGTTTATCACATATTTTTATTATTTACAGTGTATTTTTAATAGCAGCACCCAATTTTCATGTATATTATGTATATGGTTTAAACACATTGGCACAATGATGTTAGTCTAATGGTGTCTTTGAGTGGTTTCTAATAAGATACCGTTGATTACTGATTTATAAGACTAGTAGAATAAAGCCTAGGATCCTGGTTGCCTATGGAGATCGTAAAGCTGCTATAACCTGAGCTAAGTAACTTTATTCTAATTGCACACAGACCATTATTCATGCTTATTCGTTATGGAGTAGCTAGTATGTGCTGTATGTATATCGGTCAGTCTTGTACTATATTCCTATAATTGCAATTGATAATTGTAATTGTTTGAATGTACAGCATTATGTTAAGTAAAAGCACATCAATACACTACAGAGGTTTAATTGCTTCCTTGCTTCTACCACAAATAGCCTTAAGAGACATAAAACAAAACAACAACATGCATGCAAGCAGTGATTGCCTTTTCTTTTAGAACCAGCAGCATCTATTATTCCACTCACTGTTGTAGTCATACACTGATCCTATTTTTCAGTTGTACTGATAACATACACAATTATAACAGCAAAGTGATCTAATTGCTCTTGAGTAAGGTGTAGGGAGTTGTAAACTTTTACTTTCCAACACTGCAGCCACAGGTTACACCCTTACCCCCAACAAAGGGGCTTTTA